CTTCCTGCTCATTCTCACCGACCCTAACAGTCGTTCCTTGCTATTTTGTTGCGCCCTCCTGAACCACTTCTCTGCCACCTAGCCGTTGTCCCAAGCCTTCCGCACTGCCTCCCTACCACATATCTGCCATCTGAGCCATCTGGAGCCCCCCGCCCCCCCCCCCCCCTCAAAAGCCTAGCTTTTGTTCTAGTTGCCCAGCAAGACTTTGGATTGTTGTTTCTCAGCTGCTCAGTCCACCTATCCACTTATTGTCATCCTGGGCAGCAAATATCCTCTGCTTCTCTATTGTACTACCCTCCTAAACTACCTCTCCACCTTGCTCTCATTGCTCTGAATCCCAATGGACGCCACCACCGTCGGTAAACCATAGTCGCAGTTTGTGTCGCATGAATGTTACTATTTTCTATTTTTGTGTGTTGTTTGTCGTTGCCTGTTCGTATTTGAAATAATAATATTTGTTTACTTATTGTTGTTTGGTCTAACTCTGGTATCATTTGATATCAGAGCTAGTTTAACTCTAATCCTATCCTAGGGTGTAGCATCCACCAATATCCAATTCTATCTCCACATAAAATTCCTTCTCTTTGCTCATTTTCAAACCAACCACTCAAAAGTTTTTTTCCCCAATCTACTTCATCATTATACACCCTCTTCCACCTACTGAAACCCAAACCTCAAACCCTAACCACGGTATTGCCGAAACTATTGTCGGAGACCTAATCGAGAGGAAATATAAAAATGTTGTTTTTGAGAAATCTGTAAAGAGATGTACATGAACTTTCTATGGAAGCCTTCCAACTACAACAGAAACTTGTGACCTTCCAGAAGAGACAATCCGAACAGGTCACCCGTAGCGACAACAGTAACTTACTATATTGAATGCATGGAGTGAGTTTCTTCCACCAATGCAGATTCCGACAGAAAGAACGCTATCCCAAATAGTTGGCCTGAAATATCAGAGAAGCATGAATCTTAAATTAAAGGGTGAATTTGCCATATTTTGTTGGCCACTTCGATCGGACAAGGTCATCGAGTGGCTCTAGACCGTGGAATGTGTTTTTTTAGTACCTCTCACAGGACAATAATGAAACTAGCGGCCAACAAGTTAAAGAAGTGTATTGTTGGAAAACTTTGAAGCACTTATGCCAGCGTGAGGGAAAAAATAAGATCATTACCTTGTCCAAAATGAAATGGAAGATGCAGCATCATTACCTACCAAATCATTACTGACCAAATTTTCAGACCCTAGCTTCAAGAGTAGAGAAGTAATATCATCAGACAACTGCCACACATTACAGTCAGAGTTCCACTCCATGATCGAGCAACAATAGTACGCTAAAAATAATATCCAAGCCATCGCCTTAAGGAGAAATTGATTCATTGTGGAGAATAGGTGATGCCAACCAAAACTACTAAATGAGTCCTTGACAAAAAATGCGACAAGTATCGCGGTTTTGGGCAAGCACAACAGATTGCCCAAACAAGAGTACAGTCTATTTCACTAAGCCAGGAGACGTTGAAGAAATGGTTGACAAAAAAGATATTGAATAAGGTGATGACACAAAGGAGTACCAGATTCCTATTGATAAGGGAGAAAAGCACATAGTTCAAGCTGAACCAATGAGAGATACTCCAACAGATTCAACAATGGTTGCCCAAACAGTCTTGAATTCGAGGAACCGACACCAGATACATAGAAACAATAGATAAGAGAATTCTAGACTTTTCAAATATATAGTATACTTCTTAAGTTGCCCCTACTGAGTTAGGTCCAACATGTCAAAGATGAAATTCTTTTTCACCACTTTTGGAAGACTATATAGAGTGATTTGGGTAATTAAATCGGTTCAACAGTTTACCCACCAACAGATGATCAGACGGGATGGATGACCCACAGTGTTGAAAATCAACTTAGGAGCTTTTCAAGAAAAAACATCTTATAGTGGGATTCAGATCCTTTTAGAGAAGAGCAAGAAGAGGACTCTTCTGAGTAATTATGTTTCAATGTGGTCCATCTTGCCATAAATGTCGTTCCAAAATTGATTCCTCTAAATATATACTTGTTTATCAGATACAGTCAGTCGAGTATGAGGAGTGAGAGATGCAGATTATAGATTTACTTGATCAAGATTTGGCTCATGAGAATTGACGTTGTTATGCAATTCTACCTCAAGTCGTGTCAAAAGTAGATGAATACATATTCTATCAGGATCTTTGGAATGACAACACCTACAGAATTGACTTACTAGGAGCTTGCAACATTTTTGGTACCTTCAACGAGCCCAATCTGACTACTATGAGAAGATAGAAGCTTCAACAAATGAGGTCAAAGCTGCCCCAACACCAGGAGACTAACATGAGGCGTCTCCCACTTACAAAGCGGGTGTGGGATCCTGTCTCCACACGGGATGCGATGATTGGCGCGTCTAGACCATTCGGTCCAAGCACGAGAAAGATTGGTCGGTCCTTCCAAGCAGAGAGTCCCCTTCTATTTGGGGTGGGGTCTGCTCCTATTTACCTTAAGCTTATATATTTGTTTTTCATATTTTAGGTTTTTCAGTCTTGGAGTGTATTTATGTCAGGAAAGCCACCAACATCCCATTTATTTCCTTCTAGAATTGTATCCAAATGCGAGTGGTGCTCCAGTTGTATCACGTTCCAAGGTGGTGATCGTTTTCCACTGTATCTTATTTCTGAAGGGATATTTATCCTTACCCAAACAGTCGGTCCTTCCAAGCTGATACTTCCTATTTGGAGGGGGGGTCCACTTCTATTTACCATAAGCTTCTAATTTGTTTTTCATGCTTTGAGTTTTTAGTTTTGGATTGTATTTCTATTAGAACAGTCACCGATGTCCTCTGTTTTCCCTTCCATATATCTAAGGGTGAGTAGTGCTCCGGCTATATCTCACTCCCAAGAGGATATTTATCCTTCCTCAACTCCTTTTGCATACCCTCGCTTCGCTGCCACACATTCATCCTAGCTACAGCCGCCCCGATAGCAGCACTTTTGTTGTTTCAGTTCCTTGTTGTCTAGCAATTCTCCTCGCTGTCGCAGCCTCGAGACAACCCTCCTGCTATCCCACAGATCACAATCTCACACATTCCCCGACCATCATCATTCCCGCTTGCTACCACTGCCCTGAACAGTCGTTCTTGGCTATTTTGTTGATGTTTGCCCCCTCAAAACCACCTCCCAGCTGCCTAGCCGTTGTCTCAAGCCTCCTTCAATGCCTTCCTACCACATATCATTGTCCCAGCCACCCGAAGCCCCCTCCCTGCAGCCTAGTTGTTGTAGCCGTCCAACTCCGCTTTGGATCATTGTTTTGTCGCTGCCCAGCCCGCTTATCCACTTGTTGTCGTCCCGAGCAACGAATATCCCATGCTCCCTACTGTACCATACTACCATCCCCCCTGCTCCACCTCCCCAACTTGTTATCATCGTTCCGACCCCCAACAGCCGCCACCACCACCACCGTCGGTACACCCTGCGACTGTGTATGTTGCTATTTTCTTTTTCTGTGTGTTGGCTGTAGCTGCCTATTAGCTTTTCCAGTAATAATATTTAATTGTTTATTGTTGTTAGGGTTAACTCCGATATCAGACACTTTCATGATTACCAATAAATAAACTTGTGGATGTTCCTTAAGTTCACTGAAGATTTTCTTTTGTGATTCCAGTGAATCTAGTGCATGATAGGATCCACTTGAGAAATTTTGGTTGAATAGACAACCCCTGCCTGAATTGGATCAACTTGAGGAAGATCATTGTGGGACAAAAAGTAATGTTGGGAATCTAATTGAGATGAGTTAGTTGGGGTTAGTAAATTGAATTAGCCTTGTAATATATGCATAGCCCCTTTCCTTTTTTTTATCAATCCTTTTTTTTTGGGGAGTTTGAACCGCTAAAAATGTTTGAATAGGATCTAGTATCCTATCACATTGAGAATACTGTTGCTAATTTCATCTTAACTACTTCGATTTATCTCATTGTGTGGACACGGTAAGCAAATTGAGCACATTCACTAAATGCTCAACAATTCATGGATATGAAAGTTGTATTCTCCTTCATTGCTCTTGAATATTTTCTACCCACACTTCCCTATGGAGTTGATAAATTGCGAGTATAATTTTTTTCTCATGAGTAAATCTTTTACTATCATTTGCAATTCTCACAAAATATTTGGCGTTCATGAATTATGTAATCAGAAGGAAAAAAATAAATATTTGGTAGAACATGAAACAAACCTCGGACACTTCTCTGTAATGAACAAGAACAATGTGATCACAGGATCTGTGAAAAGAAAAAAATTGTATTAAAAAAAGGATTTAGTTATTCATATTATTGCATGTAACAAGTCAATAAAAACCCATATCCTCTATTCAAAAGTGAAAATCAACATTTCATTAGTAACAAGAAATAAGTAAAAAATGGGCAAATTAGTCTAAAGATCCAAAGAAAAAAGCACAATAGCCAGATCAGCAAGAGGGAGAACAAAGTAGCAAAGAGAACATTGCGATAAGCTGTAAGTTCGAAAAAGGAAAGATTTGATCTTAAATTTTCATTATTTGACGTCTGATGCCACCACAAATATTGTTGATTCAAGACAAGTAAAATTCTTAGGTTTTCTCCATTTTCCTTCTAAAATACCACAGTGAACCATAATTTTAAGTACCAGCCTGGAGCCCTGACAAAGACTTCAACAAGAGACCAGGTCTGAAATCAATCAGCATAAAAACACAAGATAACATAATTACCAGCATCGACTAATGCTAATACACTTAAAGAAACAAATCATAAAGAATTTTGAAATGTATATCGCAAGGCTTTGATTATACTTAAAGTTATAATAAGAAATTTCATTTAAAATTCAATATTCATTTGATAATAGCTCGAAAATGACTAAAATGATAACTAGATTTTTTAAGTGAGCCTATTTTAATACCAAAATTTTTATATGTTTAATTTAGTCAAACAACTTGGAATCAATTTCATCCTACTATTAGCCCCGTATGGTCACCCACCTCAAACGCACAAACCATAACTACCTGCTTCTATTCTTACTTTAGAATCATCTTGTATGCCTCTATATAGAATACCTGTGTAATGCTACAGTGTCAAGGAGGATGAATAGGTGAAATTCAATCCATAATTTCCTTCTGCGGGATTTGCTAGAGGCCTTCACTGTTCTTGTGCTGATAGCTTTATGGTATCAGAGCCTCTTGCCGGAAAGAGGTGCCATCAGGTTACCGGGTGAGCATCTCTATTACAATCTCTGCCTCACCTTACCTCATATCTCAAATGGATGAATCAATTACTCCAGAATCCTAATCCTCTTTCCTTCCCGCCTCGAATACAACCGATCTACCTTCCCTAAAATTCCTGCACTCACATCTAAAACATCTGACCCAAAATTCGTTCACCGCCGATAACTGCCATGTTTGGCATGCCCAAATTCTAAAAATCTTCATGGCAAATGGGTTTGACGATTTCACTGAACATAACAATGAAAGTACCGAAAACCACAATTTCATTTAAGGAAACTCATAGATCAAAACCTCACAGCATCGCTATACTCCACCATCTTCTCAGTCGTACTTCCACATATTCTACATTTCCACACTACCACAGCCATCGGAACAACCTTAGAACGCCGATTGCAACACACAAATAGATCCCGTGTCATTCAGTTGAAAAAAGAATTACACCACAACTTAATGAAGGGGAACACCATGACACAATACTTAACTGAAATTCAGAACCTCGTGGATCAAAAAACAGCTGTTGGATCAAAAATTGATCAAGATGATGTCATACTATTCAATGAACTTCCGTCCTCCTACAACTCTTTCAAGACCTCTACTCGCACTATGCTTCCGCCCATCACACTTGAGGACCTCTACTCCCTTCTCTGTAGGGTGGAAGTCAACATCAATAGTGACAATGCAAAAAACATGCCCTCCATTGAATCTCAAATAGCCCTCATGACTATTCATTGAAGAGGTTCATTCCACAATTGAGGAAGGGAAGAACTCAGACAACAAACCAATGTAGAGTTCACTCTGAAGGCTCTAGCAGAGGTTTTCAATCAACCCGATCTCTCACAATATGTCAAATATGCATCAAAACGGGCCATTCCACATCAATATGCTGGCACCGAACCAATTTGGAATATGTCCCTAGACCTTCACCTCAAACTTTAGCAGCTACTTTAAAGGATTGAGTCCTAGCTTCCGGAGCAACAGCACATTTCACCTCAAATCTCAATCAACTACAACAACCGACTACCTATCATGGCTCGGAACAAGTTCTAGTTGGCAATAGGCAAGCAATTTTCATCCAGCACAAGAGCGATGCCATCCTTCCTACCCCAAGTCGTAAGCTTAAACTATCTCAAATCCATTACACTCCATTGCTCTCTCACAACTTAATATCCATTCATAAGTTAACCAAAGATAACAATCTTGTTGTCTCATTTGACTCATCCGGCTTCTACATATCTGATCCACAGACACGTCAACTGACAGGCTCCCTTCAGTATCTCACAGTCACGAGACTGGACATAGCCTATGCTATAAATTGGTTGTCAACACCTACCATTAACTTAATCATTTTTTTAGATGAAAATTGATGGAGGGAAAGCTTACAAACAAGCCTTAAAAATTAACAGTTTGACAACAGAAAATCCCATGAGATATTAGAAAGATTTCAATTCATTTGTGAAATAACAGAGAATTTTTTTTATTTATGAGAGCAGGTTCAAAATGAGAAAATTTTTAGAAAAACTACAAATTATAGCAATCTGTTGCTGACATGTCGATTTCAAAATCAAAACTAGTTTTATGAATCACCAAAATTCAATCCCCTTAAATCCACTGACATGGGGATTTTCCTCCAAAAGCTAAAACAATTTTGCCCAAACCATTTTAATTGAGAGAGTGGGTTGAACCGGCCCTCTCCTTCCTCTTTTCATTTGGCAGGAAATCCCCTTTTTGTTTCCTGTCTACTATATTCTATTTATATGTGTGTTTGTTGTCTAGGTTTTCAACTCATGTTATTTTTCTGATTTCAATTTGTGAAGACAACCGCCGGCGTCTTATTTTTCCCCTTCGAGGGTTGTATCTGATAGAAAGGGTGGTGCTCCGACAGTACCTTATCCCCCAATATTGATTTATTTCTCCCACGTCCACCTCTGCCATCCTTCCTTACAGCAGCAACTTTTCCTTGCAGTTTCCCGCCAGCGACTCGTCAGCCTTCCACTTCCACCTTTCTGTCACGGACCTCATCCCCGTCAACCTTCCACTTCCTGCCCACCGGCCGTCACACCCCACCCACTGCTAAACCGCAACCCCTAAGAATCGTAACCTTCTGCTGCCATCACAACCTACAGCCTTTGTGACCTGCTGCGAACCGGTTGCTCTCTCCTGCCTCCCAGCAAGCCTCCCCTGCAGCCCAAGCTCCAACTACAGCTGTCAGTAGGTCTCACTGCCACCTACACTCCTATTTTCCCTGCCGCAAACCCCTAAGACCTCATATCATATTGCTGCTAAACCTACATCCTCCCAATTCAGTTGTTGTCCTACCTTCCCAACCTGCTACCCTACCTTCTAACATAACTCCCAGCCGCCCAACAAACGTTCTCGTCGCCTTAACCTGCTGCCTCCCCCCTCCAGCCCACCTTCCAACTCTGGCAGTCCCTCTCTCGCATTCACCCTTGCTATCCCAAGCCTTCATATTAGGATACATTTTCAAGGTGTTTGTTGTGTCATTTTATGTTTGGGTGATGTTCTTTCAGTTTGTGTGTCTTGTAACCCTATTTTCCTATTAATAAAAGTTTTTTTTTTTTTTTTTTTATGATTTGGATTTTCCCCTCTGCTATCACCCCCCATTTTAAATAATAAACCTATTAATAAAAGTTTTTTTTTTTTTTTTATGATTTGGGCTTTCTCCTCTGGTATCAGCCACCAATTTAAGTAATAGACAATTGTACTTAAAACTTTAAAGCCTATAGATTTAAAAACAAAAGAATGGGCATACAAAGTGCATCAAGCTCCCGCCAAATATGTACTGCACTTGAAGTCCATAAATTTTCAAAAGAAAAAATCCATGGTGTTTTTTTATTAGTATTATTTTTTCTCAGTCTTATATCATGCTTCCATTAAGAAGTATTTCTGGAAAAGAAATGCGTATCTTTTTTCATCAGAACAATACGAAACATTCCTACAACAGCAGAAAACACAAAATGTAAACCCTTAGCATAGAAGATGCTCATGAAGTATACTGATGATGAAAAATAGCTGTTGAACTTATCCGTAGGTAGAGACAGCTGGTGTATTTCCAGACCAACATCAAGAGCAAAAAATAAAAGAATTAATTTCCAAAAAAAAAAAAACTAAAGCAACTTCCTTACAGTTAATAAGCCCAACAAATAGTGGGGGTGAGGCGGGATGCAAAAAACAATGGACAAACAGATCTTTTACCCAATTTTTGGCCATGCCCCATTTGACCTAAAACCAAAAACAGCTTCTCAAGAATTTTTTATCAGCAATTAATGAAAAAGATTATTGTGAATACAGATCAACTCAAGATCATTAACTAATTCATTTCGTCTTAAGTTTCCAAACAGAAGACATGAATACAGAAGAACTCGTCAACTTAGAACGCATAAATAAAAATATAAACACATTAAAAGCATCACTAGAAGCTTAAAACATGTAAGAACTTGCCGATCCAGCATCCAATAGCTCCGCCTCTGAAAAGAAGGATTTAGCTCCCCATGAGCATAGTAACAATTGAGAGCATCAATATTCCCAACCTGGATATTTCAATGTATTGCATAAATTAACAAAAAGAAAGCAAATAACTGCAATAAAAAATATAAAATAAATAAATATCCACAGAACCACACATACTTCCAACAACCCATCAAATGAACAACGACTTGAAAATATAGAAATTGCGTATAAGCCACCATAAGCCTTTTTTATTGGAATAATAACTAAAAGAAGGGTATGGCCAATGCTCACAGTAAAATATGAGCAAAGGCAAATATATGTCAGAGTAGTTTCAACTTGAAAAAGCATGATTTGCTAAATAAATTTTAAACTTTTTGGCCCTCCCACTGAGAGACTAAAAAGCCATCCATTAAACAGGCTTTAAGCACCATAACACTTGACTCGGGCAATACATTAACAGTATAATACTATAATTGCATACCATCTAGCAGTCAGTTTTGCATGACAGGCAATAATGCTCCAATCGCCAGATCAATTTTAAAGGCTTATTTTCATGATAATATAGTAGGACCTTATTATATGTTATTTTCATTAAGAAACAGGCAGGATCATTTAAATATTAAATCATAATTTGTAATCAAATAAATTAATAAAAATAAAGATTCAAGAAAATCAATCAAATAATTAATTGAAACATTTAAATTGAGTGGTATTATTTGTTTTTAAAGATGAAAGTTCTTAAGGGGACGGTGCCAACATAGCTTTTGAACAAATCATCAAAAGTTATAATCCTCAAAAGTTAATCTTTCATGTCTGATGTTTAGGATCAGTAATTTATGGAGAAATGTTTTTTTCTCAATGAGATGATCATCATTTCCTTTACCACAGATGTACATGAATACATATTGAAATTGGAGGAGATTTTCTCCATGTAGTTTGTGATTGGTGATGCAAGAAGAGAATTCAATTGTTGTAGAACCAAACAGACTTCTGAAGAAAAAGTAGCTTTCATGTTTGTATTTGGTCATCATGAGGATTTCCACTAAAGAGAAAAATTGTTTGTACTCAAAACAGGATTTCCATTGGAAAAAGAAATCATCTACGCCGACATAGGAATTCCACTAAAGGGAGAATTTGTCTTTCACCTACACAAGATTTCCACTAGGCATGATTCCCACTTGAGAAAGAAAGCAAATGTCAAGGTGTTTGGGATGAGGTTGTTGTTGTTGCTGCTGCCTAGACAGAGATGTTCTCTACTTGAGGAGATTCCGAGTGGCTACTCAAATGTAACAGCGGAGCCACAATTTCTTGAAATGTGGGTGGATCCATGTGGTCCATGATTATATTCATACCAATAATATGGAGTATATCCCTCTAACTTTACCTATTCTCTATCAGTTTCACAAACATATGAAGAATATCTCTGGCTTCACCACCACATTTTCAATTCTATTGAGCAAAGTTCATCTAGTGAAGTAGAGCTGATGTAGAATAGGCAAGGCCTCTCACTAGATTAATTTTTAAGGTTGATCATCTCAATGATCCATTATTTATTATTATTATTTTATTTTATCTTCTTTAAGAAATATCGAGGCCCATCAAATTATATTCGAAGGAAATATTTTAAATATTAAATCTTATTTTGGAACCAAAAAAATAAGTTCAAATTTAATATTCAAAAGAATCAAGGACATATTTAATTAATTCCTTTAAATTAGAATGCCATTATTTGTTTCTAAATATGAAAATGACGTGAGGAGAGGCTACTACTATAGCCTTGAATGAACTTTCAAGAGGTATTTTCTATGTTTTCTTTCAAATTTCTTTCCCTTTTTATAGAATTGTCGGCACTATTTTGGTTGGGGGAGTTGCTCGTAAGAAGTCGTTGGTCACCGAAATCGAGATCTCGTCGCCTGCTTCGGAAGGACGTTTTAATTTACATATAGATTTAAATTTTCAAGAGGTATTTTCTATGTTTTCTTTCAAATTTCTTTCCCTTTTTATAGAATTGTCGGCACTATTTTGGTTGAGGGAGTTGCCCGAAAGAAGCTATTGGTCACCGAAATCGAGATCTCGTTGCCTGCTTCGGAAGGACGTTTTAATTTACATAGATTTAAATTTGGAAAAATATGGAATCAAACTGACCCCATATTGTTTATAGTTTAAATGAAAGAGCATTATACCTCAAATCTTATATCTATCCCGAATGATAAGAACAAGACTTGAGGATGAGACTCGATCAAATAAACTAAGAAATATATGACGTCCGTTTGATCTGCGAAACCGTTTTATTTGTCGACAATTTCCCCTATTTAATATGAAAAATTAAATAGGGTTTATATTAAGTTGGGTTCGGAAAAACTTCTTATAAGAGCAAGCTCCTATAGTTAATTACATCTTAAATGACCGAAGTCACCTAAGAATACTCTCGATAAAAATCAGGAAAAATTATCTTCAATGAGGTTAAAATGATAGAACTTTTCAACGAAATCGGACAAAAAAGTGTGCAAAGGGGAATGGTTCAAACTTGAAACATTCATTGTAGAATCCAACGGAAGAAGAACTAGGGGATGTTACAGATCCGAAAGAAAACCTCGGTGACTTCCCAAGCAATCTTATTGTTTGGCTTCAGTTTAGAGGAGAATTATTTAAGTGTTTCATCCTGCCAATTTTATTTAATTAGGGTTTACATCTGTGTGAAAATAACACCCAAATAGCCTGAAAAATGTGAGGATTTAGATCGTGATAGACGACAACCTCAGAATCCTAAGGCGAGTTATGGCTTAGATTGTACAACATGTTTGTGCAAAGGCCTAAATATGATGTGAGGATTTTGTTGCGCTAGGCAAACAACCTCGAAGTTCTATGGCTTGGTTGTTTAATTCTTAGGAATAGTTTAGCTGAGGAAGACATGTTTTGTTGTTAAAGATGATCGTGTTGCCCACAACGCTAGCTCCAAGCATCGTGTTGCTCACAACGCTAGCTCCAAGCTCCTTGTCGTGACGGGTTTAGGTTTTCTAGGGTGGTCAATTATGATGTCAAATCAGACGGTCCTATGATTGTGGTTCTTTAAACATTTTACGAAAGGCATGTTGAAGTTGTACAGTGTATGAAATAATAATAGAGTGCGTAAAGAAAAGGTAAAAGGTATAGCAGGAGAGAGACTGCAAGAAAGTAACATGCTGTAAACACAAAACAAACTTGTATACCTGGGAGATCCGTTGTTCTTTAGGTGTAGTTGATGCAACGGGTACAAGTGACAAAATTTGAAGAAACAGGTCGAAATGCATCATATAAAAAAAAACTAATAAAGAAAACTAATAAAGAAAAAAAACATCGTCTATAAAACTCAAGAAAGATCGTCAAAAGACTCACGACAGGAAAAGTACGAGGAAACCGAAGAATCGATAAATCGATGAAAATCATAGAAAACACAGGAAAATCTCAGAAAAATACCACGAATGCTTTGTCCAAAAGTTTCGATAAGACATGAAAAGGTCAAAAAAGAGCGGACCACAAGCACTCGGGTAGGGCTAGGCTCAAATATATATTTGTACTCGAGGTTCATCGAAGGCTACTCGGTCACCCGGATGTATAAAGCCCGCCACTCAACTAGAATGGTGTCTTACTGAACCTAACTTAGGAGGGTGCTCTTTGGCCTGAAGCAGGTGATCAACAGGTGGACAACCAAATTTTAAAAAATATTTAAAATTTATATTTTTAGCATGCACATAGGTTTCAAGCATACAAAAGTGGGTTGTATCAATTTTATTTGTAGCGAAAAATATATTTTTGTTTAAAAAAAAAAAGTGTATCCGTTCTTATCAAATTTGTTTTTATTATAGGTTTGAAAATGTGTAGTTGTCCACGAGTCGATCACGCTGTCGGGCGTAGGACTACCAACAACCTAAGAAGGTACGGGTCAACTCCCGCTAGTCTTATGTCGGTGAATGATATTACATCCTACGGTTCACCGAGTCCGTGGGGGTGTCTCGATGTCGTAGGATTGAATATCATTTCGCTCTACCACCGGTGTGCCTTTGTCATCACCGCCCTAAGCCCCAAAGTGATCTACTTGCGACCTTGCTTGATGATTTCACGTATAGCAAAAGGCTATACGTATGTATCGGACATAAGCATAAAAAACCGAACCAAGAAGCAAGGAAAAAAAAGAACAAAAGTGGGGTGAGAGAAAGGAGGCACCGATCCACCTAAAACACCGAAAAGAAATGGGATGAATCAGCCCTCAAAACTCGTAACGAAAATACATGAGAAGGTAGGGCCCAAGGTCCTTGAATCAATCTGAAAGGATGGTATTTTCTCGCTTTGTTAGAATTGGATCAAGCCAAGGAGGGTGTCCTTTCCAAATCTTGTCTCGAACGATTCGAAACGGGCCCGAACCGACAAAACGATCACCCACAAATGACCTCCCCGATATCGATGTCTAACCTCAAAAAAAAAAATATCTTCCATGGGCTTAATTTAATTCAACCAAATGCTCTCCCAAATAGGACTTGAAAATCCTCCAAATTCCATGAATTGAACAAAAGGAAAGTGACCCGGGGAAGACTACCATCGGCACCTCCAAACTCATGCCAAAATTAAGATTTTTCAACTCCCAAATTAATCAATAGCTTCACATACCAAATAAACATAAAACCTTCCAATAAAGCCACATAAAGGCTCACGGTCGGGGTCAATAGAGAAGAGGAAGCAGCCACCAAGGCTCTCGGCCAAGGCCACCAACAAAACAAGGAGCTCACGGCTAAGGCAAGAAACAGGGCGAAAAGAGGCTCACGACTAAGGCAACCCAAGGCACAAGGAAGGCTCACGGACAAGGCAACCCAAGGCACAAGAAAGG